AAATGGCCTTCGTGCAGAATGCGAAGAGTTGCTTCCTGGAGCTTTTTCGGGATGATGATTCTGATGCCATGCATAAGAACGTCTTCGACTTCGGTGACATGGTCTTTATGCGGCCAGAACTCCTTTAGGCAAGGCTGCAGATCACGATGACTTGGCCAGCCTTTTTGTGTGAAAGAGCGGAGTTGGCGGCAGGACTCATCTTCTTCTTGTTCCCTTTTTAGCTCTTGCAACGAAGGGGGAGCAACTGGCAGCATTGAAAACAGCTGGTTTATGTAGCCTTCGATCTCTTCTTCCAGCTCGTTGTCTTCGATCTTCCCTTGCAGCGGAGACCTTGACAAAGCGTCAGCGGCGGTGATGTCTTTGCCTGGAATGTACATGATTTCAAAAGCGTACTGCATTAAGCGCATGCGCATCCTCTGCAGTCGAGGTGTCAGGTCGTCAATCGCTTCCGACCCAAACAGCGAGACAAGAGATTTATGGTCCGTTTCCAGGCAAAACTTAGTTCCGCAGACGTAGTCGTGAAACTTCTCGCAGGCCCAGACGAGAGCAAGGCCTTCCTTTTCGATCTGAGCGTAACGGCGTTCAGTCTCGGTTAGTACTCGAGAAGCATAGGCAATGACAGCGTAGCGACCGTCGTCTTGCTGCTGACGTTGGACAGCGCCCAGGCCATACGAGGAGGCATCCGCTGTGACTTTAGTTGGTCTCTTCGGGGAGTACATCGCGAGGACTGGATCTGATGAGAGTAGTCTTTTCCAGTTTGAGAATGCTTTTTCCTGCGCGGTCTCCCAGACGAACTCTTGCTTTGATGACAACATGCTTGACAGTGGTTGTAGCAACTCTGCCATGTTAGGTACAAAACGACCTAATAGGTGGCCATGCCCATCAGCCGTCGGAGTTCAGTCTTGGAGGTTGGCCTCGGCATCTCAGTGACTGCTTTTATCTTGTTCTCGTCAGGTCGAACGCGGTTGTTCTCGATGATGTGCCCCAAGTACTGTATCTTCGTGACGCCAAACTGGCATTTGTCTCTGTTCAGGGTCACGCCTGCGTCTCGAACTCGCTCTAGAGTAGGGCGGAGTCGTTGCTCGTGCTGTTCCTTCGATGATCCCCAGACAAGGATATCGTCCATGTGGCAAGCAACACCTTCAAGACCCTGGAGAATGTCGCTCATGCGCCGTTGGAAGTGTTCCGGGGCAGAGCAGATACCAAATGGTAGGCGATTGAAGCAAAAGCGACCGAAGGGCGTGATGAAAGTGGTCAGCGCTTTACTCTTCTCGCTTAAAGGAATCTGCCAAAATCCTGACGTGGCATCCATTTTTGAGAACCAGGTGGCTCCTTGCAGCGTTTCAAGGGTGTGTTCCACCGCCGGAATGGGACGCCATTCACGTAGGACGAACTTATTGAGCTCTGTGCAGTCTAAACAGATTCTCAGTGCTCCTGACGGTTTGGGTACCACCACCATTGGAGCACACCAAGAGGTGGGTTCTGTTACGGGGTTGATGACGCCGATTTCTTGCATCCGTAGAAGCTCCTCTTTTGTCTTCTCATACAGAGGTAGAGGCACCCGACGAGGAGACGTGAGAGCATGTGGAGTGGCGTCAGGTCGAAGCAGTATGTCACACTCCTGTTGTAACTTGCCAAGACCTTGGAAGACCTCAGGGAAGTCTTTGTCGACGTTCAACACCGAAACAGAGTTGAGGGAGCTGAACAGTCCCAAGCGATTGATGGCTGGCTTGCCAAGAAGAGCGGTGCGGAGTAGCGGAAGGATGTAAACGTCTTCCGACGCTTTCTCGGCCGTTCAACTTGAAATGGAGTTTGGCCACCCCCGAGATGCAAAGAGCTTTTCCATCAGGTCCCTGAAGACGACGCGTTGTGGGGTTTAGAGGGATATGCTTGAAATGCTGATGGTACTGTCGTTCAGGAATGACAGTCTCGTCCGCCCCCGTGTCGATCTTGAAGATCAGTATTTTCGCTTCTACTTGCGGAGCGACTTCCCAGGTTGACGAGGCAGTTTCACCCACCAAACCAAGGAATCCTGGCTCTTTTTCGATTGTCTGCAGCATTTGCACCGACCGGCAAACAGTCGCATAGTGGCCCTTCTTTCTGCACTTTTGGCACGTGCCACTCTTTGCTGGACAGAGAGCTCGCGCGTGCCGCTCTTTACCGTACCAGCCACATGAGCGGGCTTGATTTTTCTTGCTGCTGCCTTTTGTGGGTTGATGCTGAGTCTTAGACGGTGGCTTGGCGTCGGAGTCGTGTTTAGCAGACTTGTTCTTTCTCACGTGTAGTGCATCCACGGCTGCAGTTTCTTTGGGATGGCCTTGACGGAGTTCTGCCTGTTGCAGCTGAACAGACTCGTTCTGACGCGCAACGGTGAGTGCCTTCAAAAGATTGAGGTCGGGGTCTAACTGAAGAGTTTGCGACACCTTGTGATTCTTGAGGCCTACGACTAGCCTGTCTCGAATCAGTTCCTCGCGGAGTTCTCCGAAGTTGCAGGTGTCTGCTAGGGCATGGAGAACTGTAGCAAAATCTTCGACGGACTCACCGTCCAGCTGGACTCTGGTGTTGAATTTCGCCCGTTCGAAGATGACGTTTCTTCGAGGAATGAAGTAGTTGTCATAGCTCTTGAGCACCACGTCGAAGTTTTTCTGCTCATCGGACGTCAACTTGAACGTGTTGAAAATGTCCTCTGCCTGGGGGCCCATGAGGTACACCAGCGTGTCGACTTGACTCTCCCTTGGACGGTCGCAGAGTCCCGAAGCAGCGCGGTAGCGCAGGAACCGCTTCTTCCATTGGAATCACTCGAGTCTTTGATTTATTTTGTTTTGTTGACCAACATCTGTGCTCGCGTTACGCTTGATTTTTTGAAGAATGCATTCACGCACACTGGAAATCAAGCAGGCAGGGCAACCTGCATTGTTTAAGCGCTCTATCTGATGTTAACACCGGTCACTACTTCATGACGGCAACTCTTAGAGCGCAGCTCTTAGACGTCCGTTTCCGGCTTGAGCGGCGTCCGCACGGTGCAATATGGGTACATTTCCCCGGTAAATTTAGCAGAAAATTTCCCCCCTAAATTTAGCGGAAAACTTCCCTCGCTTAGCGTTTAACGGAAAGAATTCCCCGCTAAATTTAGCAAAAATGTTTCCTCTAAATGGGAGGTGAGTAGGAGAGGAGGAGGGGCATAGCCTCCTCTCCGTACCTTCCCCTTCTGCTCCTCAAAAGCTGCGCTCTAATTCGGCGTTACAGGGAGTTGTAAACGGCTTTCATTTTTGATGAGGCAGCTTGAAGGCAGGAAGTTATGCCTCTTTTTATCAACTTTGAATGAGCACTGTCAAAAGACAGAAGACTTTTTCTCGAACGCGGTTTGCACCAGCAACACACGCAACTCACATAATGCAAGCCGCAGATCCAAACACTGGATGCACTTGTCTTGGGGAGGCTCTCAGGTGAACTTCAGACCGTCAGACAAGGCGGCAAACAAATTGACGATTCTCGTAACTTGGTGCCAAAGTTAATTTTCGGGTGAACATCCACAAGGACCAGAAAATCATCTACATACCTAAAAATTCTGACAACATACAGGTCAATCAGGCATTCGGAGATGCATCTATCCAGGGTTGTAAAAGTTACTTCAAATATGTACCTAAGACACAGTTACAGTTACTCACACGAAAAGGCACCTAGGTACGTACCTAGATACTCTCTTAAAAATGTACCTAGGTACCAGGTATAGTTACTTCAAAGATACTTTCTTTGTTTATTTTCCCCAAATTTGTTGAATATATTGGAAGTAAAGCTTTTTATATTAAAGATACATACAAAAACAAGTTTGATAAATGTGCTTTATTGGTGTCAATGCGAGAAATAAGGAAAACTGCATTCACATGAGCATTCCAGGACGGGAGGCACTCACTTGATCGAATGACGTTTTAGCGAACGCCCAAGTTTCACCGAATGACACTTTAGCGAACAGTCGGACGCCGCGAAGCGGCGTTTTCGGGTGGGCCAAATGAGTCCATATTTTTGTAATGAGTTGCCGCAGACTGTCGCCGCGAAGCGGCGTAAAGCGCAGCGCGACGGATGGGTTAACGCGCGCCCCCGTTATTCGCTAAAACGACCATTCGCTCAAATGTCGCCGTTCGCTAAAATGTCATTCGCTCTTGTGATATGGACCCTTTCCAGGACACATTATTTTTTTCGGTTTGAGATGAAGGAAGCAGATCCCGATTCAATAAATTGGTGTCATTAGAACAGCATCGCTAATCCACCCTTCGCTCAAATGAACACCGCCATACGCTAAACTTTCAATTAATGAAACACCATGGTCGGGGCTTCATTTGCTAAAACGTTCAATCAAGTAGTGCCTCCCAGGTCATACCCAACTCACCGCCAATCACAGCACAAGGTAGTTTGTAAATACTTCAAGATTTATAGTGTCTACCATTTTGACAAAGTGAATAGAAAAGTACCTGTAAAAAGTAACTTCAGTTTGTTAAAAGTTACTGGAAAATGTACTTTTGCACTCCCCTGCCGACGCCCATAGCTACGCGTTATCCCAACCAATCCAGCCCTGTGAAGGTAGCACGTGACAACACGCCGCGCGCGTTTCTCGAAAGTCACGTGGCACTCGCAGGGCATTTGACCCATCAGCCCATTGTAGCCTGTGCGGTACTTCGCAAAAAGAAAACAGTTCTGTCACTAAGCGCACTTGACCGGCGCGATGACACCAAACAATACACTAAGATATAACGGTAAGCAGGCAACAATTAATGCGAAGTTGCAAACGCGAACCGAAGCGAAACCAACCGCGCGCCCCGGCATCTTGCTATGGAGACTGAAAGTACGTACACAAAGGACCAATGCCTAAACGAGCCCACGCTGCTCGCAAAATGCTTTTAACGGCACGGTCCTCTGGGTTATGATGACTACAGAACATGCGAAAGTTCACGATAATTTGATTGCACGACTGACGTAGCAAATAATGAACAACTTTCGAGTACCTTGCGTGGCTCTTTTGTGTTGGCTGTCGGTTTGGTTGTCGGTTCGGCCGTCGGTACCGCTGTCGGCTGTCCACATCGGTCGGAAACCTTCTTGACCAGCAAACCGAGCCTATCATTTGAAGGTTTGCAGTTGCCCAGGTTCGCAATTTCTGAATTTTCGCTGTTGCCGTACGTCGGTGGGGACATCGCGCCCGTGAGTGTTTTTAAGACGAGACTGCCATTTTTGCGCGTTTCGATAGCAAACGCATGGTCTCTCTTCAGCAAGAAAGCATCTGAAAGTGCGGGAAACTCAAGGAAACGAGAAGCATGTCGATAGGGCTGACGCTAGTACAACGAGCACCAAACACCGAAATTTAAATTTATTAGTTTCGGTTTCGTTTATATTTGATTGTATATTGTGTTATCATTGGTAAACTTCTATGGTGGCTGGTGATGGCATGCAGCAAATAAAGTTCAAAGGATCGCCGAAAGCACTGAAACGGCGTTCGATTGTGCCCTCGAAATAGTAGTTTTTGGCGCGCCTTACCGACGTTTGAAATCTCGCGGATGAGTGCCAGTACTTGTCGTATGTGCAACTTTGTTCTTGCTGTACAGTTGTTTGCGATTTTAATAATGACATCAATATAAACTAACTAGTCCCAATCAAGAGTCGTGCCAGTACCGGATAGAAGCAGTGTTGGATAAAGTACAGTGTGTCCCCGAGAAAAGAAAACCGTGTTTTTCGGCCTTGCTAAATAAACTAGTACGCATCGTAGAAAGCTCATACTATGTGAGAATGTGACGCTAGGGCTTGGGATAAAACGTGAGCTTCTGAGAACATGACTTTATCTGCATTAAGAAAGAATCGAGAAAAACAAAATTGCTCTATGGGCCGACGTTCTCCTAAGCCTAAGAAGCCTAGCGCGTGTGAGACTTATATGAGTGAAACACACTTGCCATCAAGAAAGAGAATATTATTTTATTTCTTGCTGGCACGTTTGCTTTACTGAATTAGATGCTACAGGGACCCGCAATGTAATTCTTGTTTTGGCGACGTTAGGCTTAGATGGACATTGGCTCACATAGAGATCATACATACTAAAGGCGCATTCACACAGCGGAAAGACGCGCGTCGTGGGGTGAATTTTTTGCTTATTTTTGTATTGAAAAAAGTCGCGCGCCGAGGAGGACGACGCAGGGAGACGACGCCTCGGAACCCAATTTCTCCCTCGACGCGCGCGCTTGAGCCAATCAGCGAGCGTCCGGACGTGACGTACCGCCCTTTTCTGGTTAGGACATGTTTTCGCAGTTTTTTTATTTTCGACTCACAATGAAGGCGAAAAGGCAGAGAGCTCGGGGGATTCGTGCACTCGCCAAACGTGGCTGGAAGTATTCCAGCGTGGAAAGAAGCAAGCCGATTGGAACATCTGACTGTGAGCAGTGTTTTATGTGCGTGTACGACGCTGTGAAGCTACTCTTCATCGTTTGCGCGAAGCTGCCGCGAAAGCTGCCACCGAAGTTCGCGGTGTGTTCCGACCTCCGACTGTGCGGGAGCGATCACTCCCAATGTGTTGTGTAATTTTGTGTACACCCATCACTACGGAATACAACAGTCCTCCATCGAAAACAGTCTCGCACAGGCTGCGTGCAGTGTTAAAGGTACGGACGCGAAGGCTCTGGGACGCACCGGCGTAGCACCGTGCTTTGTTTGCACAAAAACGCGGCAAAAGAGCACCTGAAGCTGCCCGTTCGAGTCCGTGCCTTTCGCCAATGATGCATATAACCGGAGTGTAAACGTATATATAATCATCACCGTTGTCCATTCAGTGAAGACGGTTGTCTCCCACCGCATATGCAATCGCGAAGGCAAGGCAACAACAATCGTGCAAAGCAGACGAATAAAAAATTCCGTGTTCTCTCGACAAACGTGAGATTCCCCGAGACGACGCCGGCGTCGACCTCGACCGCAACCGCGACCGCCACGTTCCCATGCATTCTGGCTGCCGCGAGCGGCGGAGCATGCAGGCCAAGGAGGTTAGAAGTACTAGGAGGGGGCACGTTGCAATATTGGTGAAGCCTAGTCATAAAAAGTTTAAACGATTTTGTGCCCAGCGTGACCGCAGATCTCTCTGGCGATTGGTGCGCGTGACATGTCACATGTGAGATGGATGGTTGATTGTAGAAGGACTCCTTGCAGGCTTGCGCGCGCTCCGTCCGGTAGGTTTTATCGGATCGAAGTCTAGACTGTGGTGTATTCTAGTAGCCCATAGCAACACGACGGCTAGCTACGGTCACGTGATGTGGTCACGTTGACATGGTAAGTGAGGAGAGTAAGGAGGAAAATGAGAAAGAGGCGAGGCGTCAAGGGAGCATGGCTTGTGGAGGCTACGCGGCCGACGTCATGCCCTCTCCTACCCTTCTATTCTCCATGATGCAGGCAGACCCTCTGGGTCCCATACATGGTTACCAACTGCCTTCGACTTCAGAAATATAATTATATCATCAGAGCAGTTTCACGAACTTCAACAATCCACGAACTTACCGGTGGAAAGATATTCGCGTTCCTTTCGAAGCTTTCTTTTTGCATAGCACGCAGATGTGCGGCCTTCCGTCAACAAACTAAACCAGATAACCGAGATCACCGGCTTCGCCATAGGCTTCGCGGATGGCCGCGCCCCAGAAATACGAAACCGCGCAACTGGTCAGATTTCTGAGATTTCGACAGAAGGGAAGTTAATGCAGCGTAATGAATATACCGCTTTTTATAAGCGTTAAACTAGCTCAAAATTTAGTTTACAACGCTACATTATCACTATTTATATTGCTGAGAGTTTTCAGTCTTCGCGATTACCATTGCGACTGTCGTCCTTCAGCTGGCAACATTGGTTTGTTCCTCTCGTGTTTTGTCGCTCTCTTTCGCGATCTTTCACTCGGGACCCAGGATGTCGGCGCACGGGATTTGCCACGCCTCCTCACTCACCTTTACCCCCCTGTTGGCTCATCGAGAAATTTCGTTTTTCTCACTTGTCTTTCGATCCAGGTGACGCCATGTTCTCAAACTTTTATGTTCTTTCTTTACCGCTAACGTCACATTTCCGCAGAGTTTGAGCTTTCTGCGGTGCATGCTTTGTTTAAACGTGTCGAAAAACACTGTTCTCTTTTCTGGGAAACTCCTTTACATCTAAAAAGTAGAGTCCCTTCCTCATTTCCACCCGTTCCCCAATAAAAAAAAAAAAAAAAAAAAAAAAATTTATTTTGTATAAAAAATAATAGCTACGCATTGCCAGTCGCGCATTCTCCGCCCAAATAGAGCGCTAGCGTTTCGAACCAGATGCCGAAGTTCCTCATCTTAAATTTTCAATGAAAAAACGGCGGCCGATGAACCTCTTGAGTGCAGAGAGCTGAATGGCGCCGGTTACGGAAAAGGGGCAAAAGAGGCCCCATTTTCCAATTTAAATTTTCACAAAAATCACTTTTGAATTAGATAATGGTTAGTTCCGAAACTACTTTCACATCTGGTTTGAACCGGTAGCGCAATATTTGGGCGGAGAATAAACGTTCGGCGACGCGTAATGTTACTTTGACAGAAAAAAAAAAAAAGATGAAAGCCGTTAGAACTACCTGTAACGCCGAATTAGAGCGCAGCTTTTGAGGAGGAAGGAAGGGTACTAAGGGTCACGTGTTCTCGAGGGGGGGGGGGGGGGGGGTCACGTGACCTCACGGTCACGCCGACGGCGACGGCGACGCCGACGCCACTCAAGCCGGAAACGGGCGCCTAAAGCTGCGCTCTAAAACACGAAGTTTTTTTGGAGTTACACTGCACTTGAAGCATTGGCGTACCCAGGATTTTCGTCTTGGAGGGGGGGGGGGGGGGGGGGGGGGGAGGTTGGTTAGGAAAGCTAAGAAACATATTTGAAACGTACTTGGACGTGCTGTGTTGAGATTATCTTGCTGCACGTGCAACTCGGAAAAATGACACGGGGTCAGTGTTTCCAAGAGCGAATAACCACCTTCAACATGTACCATCGACACGAACAAGCAGAGGTGATAATGATCATATTTATTCGCACTCAGAAAGGGGTGCTGGAGACAGAGAAAAAAAAACACGAAAAGTTATTACAGATGCCTGTAGCACCAAGCAGGTAACACGAGCGGCTGGGCAGGAGGATCGGTGATCGATCGGAGAGCTTCCCGAGTGACACATGATGGAAAAGTAACAGACGTCCCCAGAAAAGTTGTTTGGGCTCACTGTCTGACGCGAGATCTTGTTGAATGCCTGTTTCCAGTCCCCCTGTATCGCTCCGTGTTCTCTGACGATAAGGACAATGGTGTGCTTTCACGCGTGAAAAGAATGCTAGTTCATGGATCTGTAAAAACCTCTTTTTTTTTTAGACTGCGCATCAACACACTGCATGCAAAGACATGATTAGCGAAAAAGGGCATGTTTTTGGCATGGTTTGAGGGTTGCTTTTTGTGCAACAGACTGGAAACCGTGAAGCACCTGTTCATGGACTTCTGGGATGCTATCCTTTTTTTTGGAACGTGCTGCAGTGCAACCTCAGAAAAGGCATGCCGCTTACAGCTCGTGAAAAACTTTTCTTGCCAGTGGAGGGGACGTCTTTCCCATATTACCTCGATACCATTTAGAGACGTAGAATGGCAGTTCGTCACGCGGATCTTGATTCCCCTCAATTACTCTATTACTTTATTGAAAATGTGAACTTGATAGCAGCTGTGTAACAGAAAATATGCCCGGAACTGGACTGGTTGCTGACTTCCGCGAAGCTGACGATTATCAGAGAATTTTAACACTTCTCACCGCCTGTCAACCAAAACCTTCTATAGGCGGCGTTCTATCGTAATTTTCACTTACGTCGTCCTTGATATATATATTTATTTGAGATGCTTAAATGAAGTGCGTGGTGCATTGTGGTCCTTTGTTCACATTCAAAATATGTCGTTAAAGGGGAAAAATATATGAACGCTTACGCGACCCATAATCTGAAACTCAGTGACGGCTGAGTTGCAATGTCGTTTTTGGGTAAAACCTGATATTATTCGATTTTTGCACCCCGAACAGGTCTTATGCACGAGGATCGGGTTAAACATGATTTTCCCCCGGAAACCGGTATTGAAGCCGGTCGAGTTTGTGAAAAATATGAACAATTGGATCTGTGTTCCATAGGTGTTTTCTTAGTCGGTCGTTTGAAAATCACAAACCTTTTTATTAGTGACACGGCATAGATTCGCTTGAGAAGTGGCGAGGTGTTGAAACGATCCTTGTTCGAATACCGTTGC